CTCCAGGAGGCCCCGGGGGGCCTGGAGAGGGGCGAGGCGTGCCTTCTGCCCCACGGCCTCCCCGGGGTGATGGATGGGTGGAAGGAGGCCTCCTGGAGGGGTGGGCTGGGGCTCCCTCCACCCCCACGCCCCGCCCAGCCTCTCCTCCCACCCCCGATGCCACCCGTGTAGACTCACGAAACACACAGCCTGCCCTCACGGAGTCATCTTTGAGAGGAGTCAGTGTTCCTGTGCCCCAGGCCCATATCCCCTGAGGGCTGGGTGGGTCCCGGGCATAGCTGGGCAGCTCAGAGACCTGGGCCTGGAGCCTGGCCGGCTTCCGGCATGGCATCCAAGGCTGGAGAAAGCTTGCTTTCCATTGCTGGAGACTCTGGGCCTCAGTTTCCCCCACCCACCCCAGGCACAGTAGAGCTGGATCCTTGCAGCTGCCTCCCAGTCTGCCTGAAAGTTCTGAAGTCAGTTGGACTTCAGTTGGTTGGAAAGGGGTCTTGCTGCCTTACCTTCCCTGAGCGTGCCGGTCAGGCAGTGGGGCGTGGCACAGGTCAGCCAGGAGCTCCTGGGACCCCTCACCACCGAGCTTTCGGTCTCTGCAGCCCCCGGAGAGGGTAGACCGAGCCCCCAGCAGAGGCCGGCCCAGGCGGCTTGAGGCCGAGGGGCACCGGGCGAGGCGTGTGACCAGGGCTGCAGGAAGGAGGGACGCGAGTGCAGAGCAGAGGAGAGATGGGCCTTCCTGTTTACCCCCGGAGCAGCCGCTGGCCTCGGGATAGGGTGACTCTGTCACCACGGCGGGGTCCAGCTTCTCGCCAGATGTGCCGAGCCTTCACCAAGGGATGCGCCGGGCCCGGTGACCTGTCTGTCCCCGGTGGGGGCTGGGCACCCCCGGGCCGGGTGAGCCGTCGACGCCTGAGCTGGGCAAGGTCTCGAAGGGAACCCGACGTTTTCTAGGGAGCCTGGGGTCTTCAGTGCTCCGTCCTCCACCCCACTGCCCACGGGCCCCCGCGCGGCCTGCCTGCTGGAACCCCCCCCCC